CAATTCGGAATTTCAGCAGCCCCAGGAATGTTCCAAAGATGCATTGAAAGAATACTGCAAAACATACCGGGCGTCCTTCCGTGTTTTGACGATATTCTAATAATGGGTAAATCAGAAGAAGAACGAAGTTCTAGCCCGTATGGACCAGGCAGGATTACGTCTGCGCAAGGACAAATGTCAGTTTGGAGTATCTTCCATCGAATTTCTTGGATTAAAAGTTGACGCCCTCGGCATTAGGCCATCAGCCGACAAAGTTGGAACCATCCGTGAGGCGCCACCACCAAAAGAAAAAAAAAACCAAAGGAATATTATTTTGGGGTAATTGAGCAGTCATTCTTTTGACGGACAGGCAGGAAATTCTCTCTGCGTTACACGCAAACCATCCCAGAATCGTTAGGATGAAGGCTTTAGCCCGCAGTTACGTCTGGTGGCCCGGTCTGGATGCAGATATCGAAAAGGCGGTGAGTCAATGTTTAGTGTTGTAATGTGCAACGGTACGGTGTGGACGGATTCGAAGAGTCTGAGCTAGCGGGGCACGCTATAGGGTCCGGCTTCTGCTCGTCGGCTTTGGGGGTGGTGGTCTTGCTTGGACGGACTCTATCACTCACTACATATTATTACTATTAAATCTTGAATTGAGCGTGCTTGCGACAAACTAAAAGAATGGAGGACTGAACCGGAAGAGTTCGGAGGAATAAATTCGGAAGGACAGAAAGAAAGGACAGACAAAGAGAAGACTATTCATTTGGCAAGACACTGGTGTTGTATACTGGCGATTGAAGCATTAAATCAATTTTGATATTTAAAAAATTTTTATTTTTTTTTTTGAAAATATTGATTTTTGGCGACATAATTCCCCAAATAACCGATTGAATAGGTGGGGATGCCATCTATTAAGTGGCACCGTTTAGCGGCCCAGGCTTGCACTGGAAAGCTTTTACATGCCATCATGGCATCAAAAGGCTTAGCCGGCTTGGATTTCTGCTTGGGACTTTAAAGTTCTTTTCGATCTAACCGGCGAGGCAGACAGACGTCTCCAAGTAAGTCTCTTGCTTTGGGCAAGCCAGTTAACCCCATACTTAGGAAACCCTTGTTACTATTTTTGTCCAGAAGCACCAGCCGTTATTCAAAGCCGCCTGGCCATCCGCCTGAATCCTAGACAGGAACCGCAGAAAAGGATTTCTTTCGAGTTTTTGCCCAAATTGGGGAACAGCCTCTGCCTCCGGGAAGATCCCCACGTGGATCAACGGACCAGCATCCCGTCTAAGGCGGATCAACGTCCCTGCTAGCTAAAGGAGCTTAGGTGGAACTAATCCCCTAGAGCCGTGGACACCACGTGAACCAACGGTTCAGCCGCCTTTCCGACTTGGATCGTAGTCATCTGTCCCTGGGAGCACCCTCGACACGTGGACTGGTGAATCCGGGAATTTTACGCCGTGAACGCGCTTGTGTCCCGCTGAGCTCCTTACCTTCCATCCCAATTGGGAATCGGCTGCTCTGCGTGTCAACCGCCGAAGTTGGAGAAAAATTGGAGAGAAGGGGAAAAATGCTCGAAAAGTTTTAAAAAACGTGCACTGAGAAATATTTAAAGTTAAAAATTAAGAAGTAAAAACAAAGTAAAATTCAAAAATTTTATTTCCGAGTTCTGGGCTAAGCCCAGAACATGATCTGAGATCATGTTTACCATATGTTTTTGGGGTCGCTCGGAAAATAAAAATTTTATCAAGTTTTTGAGGTTATGTCGTAACCCTGACATTCTGGAGTTTTTTAAACCTCGGATTCGAATTCAGCGACCCCGAAAACATATAGTAAACATGGTCTGACCTCCAGACCCGAAAAAATATTTTTTTTTTGTGTGGCTGTGTAATTAAAAGATATGATTTTTATGAAGGAGGCAAACCTGAAGAGTTAAGCGTTCAATAGTTTAAAAAAAATAAATAAAATAAAAAAAAAATGTGCTAAATAATGAAACAAAATTAAAAAGTCTTTTAAGTTCAAAACAAATTAATCAAAATAATGATGTGTTAGTTCCGGAAAGCAAATGTCGTGCAAGTAATGACAATGTCTTTTTGTGGGATAACTTCCGGTCTTGGGACAAGCCCCAAGTTCTGTTCCAGCGAACCTGCGCCGGGAGATCGATCTTTCGCCGAGGAGAGCACGTAAGTTTGGCACCTTTTTATTTTCTTATCGCCATAAACCAGAAGACCGAAAACGCTAAACACCTGCACTTCCATAATCAGTGAATTTTCTACCACACTGAGAGAATTTTCGGAACTAAAACATTGAACAAAAAAATATAAATAATGAAAATATATATCTTAAATTAAATTAAAATATAAAAGTCTCTGACGGAAAAGAACCAAAAAGGGGAAAATATATATACTTTTGTTTTTTTATACACTGAGAAAATTTTGTTTTCAATAATTTTTTTTTTTATTTTTGATCTTTACTTATTCATTACAACCCAAAGTAAATAAATAGCTAAAAATTAACTAATTAAGCTAACAGCCATCAATAAACCTATCTCTGCGAATCTGGAAAGTGTCACTGCGATGAAGACTTCAGACGTTGTCCACATGGAATTTAGCACTGACCCGTTATCCACCTCTACTCCGAAAATTTTTCGGGAGCTTTCTTTGCTCAATGGAAAACCAGGACCAATGTGTAGTAAGAGGAAGAAACCATTCCCTCTATCCTTATCTCTACGCAAGCGCTCCAAGCGTGGTTCTGCTAGCCATAACATTAGTTCCTCTAAGAGTGCTTCCAAAGTCCAGATCCTCAGTGATATTCTTTTACCGCAAGTTAATTCAGATGTTGTTAACATTCCCTCCTCGAATAAAAACTCAACTAAGGAACCCAATCTTCCCATCAATCATAAATCTGAGCATGAAGTTTCGGATAATTTTCTTCAAGATGGTCCCTCTACCAGCAAGGATGCTGCGAATCTACTCAGACTGGCTTCTCTTCGTAATGCAGAGGATAAAATCCCGGCTATTTTCCTTCATAATGTGACTATTATTCAACCCCTTCTTGACTCTCTTAACTCCATTCCAGGAGTTTTGGAGAAAAACTTTACCACTACAACTCTAAATGGAAACTGTATCAAAATAACCTGCAGCAACTCCACCACCTACCAATTAATCATGAACAAATTAGAGACTGATAACAAGCAAACTCATACTCACCAACCTCGTTCTGATCGAGGGTATAGGCTAATTATTCGTCGATTCTACCAAGGTGTAGGCCTTATTACCAGATCCGCAAACTCCTTAGCAACTTGGGCTTCACTGTCCGCTATATAAATAATATCAAGCACCGCCGTAGTCACAAGCCGTTAGATTTGTTTGAGGTTGAACTGGCACCTTCTTTGGACAACTCTAATGATAGGATCCTCTCCGTTACTATGCTGGGTAATCAGAGGGTTACAGTAGAGCGGCAATTAAGGAGAATGGAGCCGGCTCCGTGCCACAGATGCCAACGCTTTGGACACACAAATAACTTTTGCCGCCGAGACTTTGTCTGTCTTAAGTGTGCTGGTAGCCACCCTTCCACGGACTGTGCAAACACTAGAATCGCCAATCCTAAGTGTGCAAATTGTGGTCTGGGACATGTTGCCAGTTATAGAGGCTGCACGGTGTACAAAGAATTTAAAACCCGTCTTCTTGCCTATCGTATACACTCTGCCGATAATGGTCAAACTAGGACACACCAATCTAAGGTTAGGTTTAATCCCCAACCCACCTACTACGACAGTCATCAGCAACAGTACTAGCAGCTACCTCAAAATACATCCTTACAACAGCAGGATTTCATCCGTGAAGGTTTCAGGGATCAACTGCGGTCTCCTAGTGGTCGTAGAGCCAAGCTAACACTCCTTCGTCAAATCCTAAATTAGGCAAAAGGAATCCATTTAGTAACTCTCCCCATACGCCTCCTCAAAATCTTCTATCGCGTAATCCAGCTGAAAATCATTTAAAGAAACTTCAACAGCAACTTAGGAATGAGCAGCAACTTATGAATGAGCAGCGACTTGAAAATGGCAAACATGTCTCAAACATAAATGTTGTCATGCATTCCAGCGCAAACACCAGACAATCACACCAACACGAGAGAACCCGTTACCTGAAACAAAATGCAGTATCCTCACACAACCCCCAATCTACACCAATTGGCTTGCCTCAAAGAACCTGGTCTGCTCCCTCATCAACTAATGGCGACCTCCTGCTAATGATGCAACAGAGTGTGTCCTCTGTAAGTGACTTAAGTATAAAACTTGATTCCCTCATTTCTCTCATACACGCAATTGTTGCTGACCCCAAGCCGCTAAATAATACTGGCAGTGGCCCCACAAAAATCTAACTGCTCATTACTAGATATCTTCTCAATAAAAAAGACATTGCTCCACTATAAGGAGTGCACCTTAATGACTATCCTGAAAACTGTGGAGTTCTATTAGCCAATCCAATGATTTACCTATAAACACAACCCCCAGTATTTTGTAGACCTAACTACAATACAGTTAAATGACAATATGAAAGTTCCTTGGAAATTAAACCATCTACGTCATGATGATCTTTAAATTGTTCATTTAAATTTTAGCATTATTCCTTATTCTGCCAATCTTAAAGGAAATAACACTAGAAAGGAATCAATATTAAAGCTTGCAACACAAATATTTTATATTATCCATATGTATGCAATTCTTTATCACAAAAACTACAACTCTATTGCCTGCTCTCCTTCTATGCTTCTTTTCCACCGTATGCAACTCCCACACACGAAGAACAAAGTGTTATACGCACATACATACATACTTATGTTCTCTCTCAAATTTGCTCTGCGCTGTCGCCTTATTCTAATGCGTAGTTTTCGCTTCATTGTGCTGCACCATTTTTTAGCCATTGTGATTCTGTTTCTCACTCTTTCACAAGCCTTAATTGCGATCAGTCGTATTTGACAAACACACTAAGGAAAAAAAAAAAGAAATAAAAAACCGTACCATGGCTGCTTCATCGAATAAAGTGGTTGACATCCCCCCAATAATTGTTTTGGATGTCTCATCAGTATTCAACTTTAAAGGATTCCGTAGCTCCTGCACCTCGAGGATTATCGACTATGAGGTTGCCCGTCTGGATGAGGGCACAGTTAAGGGGACCTGCTTTACCAAGGAAGATCACTCCCTCATCCTCTCAAACTTGTATGGATCAGGATCTCGGGCCCACTCAATTATGCGACAATTAAATGATTATCGTCGCTTTATTATTCGTGGCCTTCATCACTCGATTCCTATCTCAAGTATTCGTGCGGAATTTGAGTACTTAAACTTCACGTTATGCCATATCCGAAACCTGAAGTTTTATCGTAACCATGAGCCAATGAACCTGTTTGAGATTGCTGTAGCACCGTTCGACCTGGAACGTAATGACGAATTCCTTGCTATCAAGAAGCTCTGCAACAGGCCTGTTACCATCGAGCGTCAAAGACAATCGGATGAGCCTACAATGTGTCAACGGTGCCAGCGTTATGGGCACACTAAAAACTACTGCCGTCGCGATCCCGTCTGTGTAATTTGTGCTGGTCCACATCACAAGGCCGATTGCGCTCTTCCATGGACTTCTCCACCTAAGTGCGCCAACTGTGGTGGCAAACATGTTGCCACCTATAAAGGCTGTATTAAGTTCATGGAAGCAAAGGAAAGTCTTTCTCAAGGGCCAACCAACTCCTCGGCTCAGCGTCATCTTTCCACCTCGCCATCTCAGCAGTGCAAATCTCCTCCAACGACTTCCCACCGTGCGCTCAATCTACTTAAACCGCTTCCTTCACCTACTAAGCGTGATCCGCATCACTCCAAGCCACCTCGCCGAGCTCCCTCGCCAGCTCGGGATGACTTGAGCGATTCCAGCTGCGATTCTTGCACAACTAATCGACCATCTCGGCTACACACAACATCATCTCGTCGTGTGCTCTCTCCGTCTCCAGCCTGATTACTCAACGTTCTGAATCCCCTCCAACCACATCCCGCCGTGCTCGGCAACTGAAGCCATCTACTCAGCTTAACTCCAAGGCACCTCGTGTGTCCTTCTTGTTAACCCATGGTGACCATAGCAGATCCAGCAGCGACTCTGGCCCATCCTATCTAAGTTCTCAACCACCAAAAACTTCATCTAACCGAAAGCACTCCTTACTCCGGTGTCGCCACCACAGCCCATCCTCTCGGCGTTCAGGACTATTGGTCCAGGGCTATTCAAGCGACTCCAGCTATGACTGTGGTCCACCTATGCGACGTTCTCTTCCAGTAAAATCCCATCGTGCGCCTGAGCAACGGGAATCACGTTGCAGGATGCTCTCTCCCATCGCTTTGGAAAGGCCAGGAATGCCACCTCAGCAGCAGTCCTCGTCGGACCAACTTGGCCGCAGTTATTCCCCTGGAAATTACCTGGATTTCCTCTCCGGAGAACCCCCTATGGAAGGCTCCTGAGGATCTACTTAAGGCTGTCCTTCGCAGCTAACGCACCGTTGATAGACTGTCCAAAAAGTTGGACTCAATAACCAAACTGGTTAAATCCTTCACATCTGATCAATGATTTATAACATTTTATTAACACAAAATTTCTTAAACTACTTAAATATAATTCATTAAAACTAAAATTGGTTTTTTTAATTCTGGAAAAATTCTGGAAAAAATAAAATTCTGGTTTTTAATTCTATTTTTATGCTGCTGATCCTGATCCTTTCTATTCGCCCTCTCCAGACATGGTCGGAGTTAATTTCGTCGCTAATCCTATAAACTATAAAAAATAAGGATTCTATAAACTGGTTAATTCCTGCACCCTGCTGCTAATTTATTTACGTTCCTGCAATTAATCCATCCTAAAATCTTTGCTGCAGCGGGAAACATATGTCTGCCCCTCAATTGGGAGTTAATCTATGATGGAAAATAAAATTATTGCTTCTGCCTTACTCCAAATCAACTTCTCATACTTACTGACATCATTCAATCTAACAGCTGTTCATCTGACGGAATCCTGACCAACTGCTAAGCTCCCACTTGAGTAACGTAACGTTGCAGTATCCTTGGACAAATTGACTGCTTTTTCTAGCCAATCTGCCAGTCTTAGGAATTCGTTTGCAGCTCTTATATTTGCTCTCTTCAGCCTGTTTAGTGTATTTCGCTGCTCCTGTTTCTCCATAACTGAATCAGGAATTTAAAACCGGATTGATTCTATAATGCAGCAGCAAACGGATGTAAATAGGCTTAAAGGAAATTAGCTACTGAAGCTCGTGAAGAGAATGAATGCCTAAAGCTTGAATGTGATCCTTTTCAGCACTTCTTGATGTACTGGGTAAACGCTCCACCATGGAGACTCTGTAGTAGTGTTTATACACGCTGGTAAACAGTGCAGAAAATCAAATGCCAACCAGAATAAATTCAACGTCTTATTATGATTCCACTTTCTCCGAGTAAGATTCCACCACCAACTCCTGAACAGCAACTAGACGATAGGCTCTCCAGCTTGAAACTGCAAATTGAAAACTAATTAGATTAAGACCATGATTTTGTTCAGTCAAGAGATTGCAGAATTACCTTGCCAACCACAAATACTTTAAGTACTACTTTGTCCCAGGTTCCTTCAGCAATCTGCCCTTGGCCGCGACTACCTGACGATCACATATTAACTTATCCTGTCATAACGGCTATCCGGAATACTAATTATTACGCATCCTGTACATCGCCGCCAGACTTGGAGAATAGTCGTTCCACTATGCCATACATTATTGACCCTGGTTAATTTACATCACGCTCTGTTTTTAGCGTCATCCTTGCTGCTAATATACCTCTACAGAAATAGGATTTTGGAAACAAATTAAACTCAGCATACTACTATTAATTTGTCGATATACTTACGATTAATCCATCCCGGTATCTGCCTTTCAGTTGGAATTCAATCACATACTAGTTCCTTGGCTGGCGTTAAATTGGAGATCACCTGCTGCTCCTATATCTGCCATTCAACCTTGCTCGTCGTTTCCTTTGTTTATTCTACACAACTGATACAACAAATTTTTTAAACAACTTGGATTAAAACTTGTTATGCTACTACCTATATGTCTACATACTTGTGTTTAATTCAAACTCAAACGACTTCTATGTATGTTGCTAGCTCTGGTACATTTGCTGGATACTCAAACAGGAATAAAACTGCAATAAGAAATACTAGATGAAGTCATTCCCATCAATCTGCTCCAAACGAATCTGCTTACCTAATGAAATTTTTCAATCTTAATTGTTCTACGCCTGCTGAAATGATATGGCTCTGCTAACTCAAAACCAAGTAACCAACGCTGTGTGTCTACTGAACGTGGCTCAGTGATACTGATTTGTATGACCATGGATTAGTCAGATGCTGCCTGCAACTCCTGTATCTGCCTTCGCTGGCTTTGCTTGGCATCCTCTTGCTGCTTGTCCCCCATAACTGGAACAATAATTTAAATTTGGATTAATCTTATCATACTATTACTATTGCATCCACATACCTGTAGTAAATTCAACCTGGATGTCTGCTATGTAGTTGGCTCTGCTGCTTGTGCTGGACTCTCAAAACAGGAATAAAGCTACAATGAATCTACTCAAAATAAATCTGCCCACCTACTGTAACTTTCCAATCTCAATTCCTGTGACCACTGGTGTGAGGTTGATCTGCTAATACAAGCCTGGATCTATTAATTCATCATACTGCTGCAAACTTGCGTACATACCTGTGTTTAATCCAACTTAAACTCTGCTCTACGGCCAACACCTGTACACATATTGGATTCTTTGGTGTATAGATCTGCAATTAGAAATTTTGCATCTAATTATTCCTGCTTTTTTACTCCAAAAATAATTGCCTGTTACTAGAGAATGTTCAACTTATTAACTGTCAGAATGAACTTATTTTGTTTCTACAAATTTTGCCACATACCTTGGATTAATAAAGGCTGATGTTTGCCCTGAGACTGCATCCTATGCAGGCGCTGATTTCTTGATTGGGAATGGATTTGCAATGTGAAAACTTATAGCTAAAATTGTAAACAACACGTGTCACTCAATTATTGTTTTTCTTGCATTGCACACTGCACTAATACTAACTTAACTTTACCAGTTATGTTTAAAGCCATTGGTTAGAGCGAGATCCATGTATATCACTTACATGCACTTCTACCTCTCACTCTGATGCTCAGTTTCTTTATGTTGCTATCACACAGCAACCCTGTCTCTGAAACATTTTTTTCCAACTACCTAGCAACTTGTTGCTATACATGTTGTTTAACTAAACGAAGCTCTACCTTAAATAAACAAATGTATCTGACCCTTGACTGGTCAGCCAATTTACTAAAATTTTAAGATTACTATGGCACTGATTTGCCGGGAAAGGCAGTATAACCATACCTTTCCTACTAATTTACTCCTCAAAATTCTCAGGCACCTGCTACCCCTGACTGCTGATTGATATTCCAGTTAGCTATTATTAAATCTACATCACTCCTTCCCAACTACACCTGCGTATATCTGTGACTCCAATTTCCCCAAACTTGGGGATCGGGCGCTGTATTCCTAGCTCTAGTAGTAGCCTCCAACAATCTACCCTGCCACTGGGCACCGGCTTTCCAATCCAACTTCATCTTCCCAGCGTTTGGATCTCTGGCTTGGCCACCAGGACTTCAGGTCGATGCTTGGACCCTACGATCGAAGTTTATCTTTATCTAAGTGAATTTAAAACTCTTTTATACTCATTGTCTACTACCTAATTCTGTTGCATCTACTATTAACCATCTACTATTATTACTATTATTACTATTACTACTATTATTGCTCCAAATTATATTCTACTACTCTTAAACCTGCATCACTCCTTACTAACTACACCTGTTTACATCTGTGACTCCTGAACTCCTAACTTTTGCGGTAGCCTCCAAACAGCTACACTGCCATTGAGTACCGGCTTTCCAATTCGCTCTCCATTTACCCAGCGTTCTGACCACTGATTTGGCCTTTAGGATTCCAGGTAGACGCTTGGACTCAACGTTCTTAGTAAATAATTATCCTTATACTAAACCTGCATTATTTATAAAATACTTCAGTTATTCTGTTTACTTTTCTCTTTATTGATACTCTGTAACGATTGCTACGGTAGTAACCATTTATGGGGAAGGGCTGGTGTTACGACTGGGAGCCAGCGCACGCTATGACATCCGGCTTCGGCTCGTCGGCAAGGGGGGGTGTTATTTGCCAGTTCCCAGCAGTGGCCTCCACATATAAGGATCTTTATTTTAAATTGCGTGCTCGCGACAAGACAAGGGCTCCGGTAATGAGCCCCGAAATTCCCCTATGGCTATGGAGCTTCTATCCTTCCTCGGCTATCCCGCAGTCACCCAGGTGTTTTAGGGGCGACTCCTATTTGCCCACCCTACCTTTGGTCACTCAGCCCCGCTCCATGCGAGTGACCCCTTTTTCTTCCGGGTTCTCCTATATCCTTAAACTGCCGCTGCGGCTAAAATACTGAATTTAGAACATTATAAATTATTTATTGTACTAGACTAATAATGAACATCTTATAAAATAACCTCGAACGCATAACTCAAATGACGACGGACAATATAAATTCGGAACTTACACCTATTTATCAGACTAATTCAGAAAATTAAATTAAAATTAAAAAGACATTTAGGGCGAAGTAACATTAAAGAATTAAAACAACAAATAAAAAGTATAGAAAAAAAAACAAAAGGAAACTAATTTTTGATCTTCTGCTTGACTAAATAGATACATACGACTTTATATTCGGGAGATCATGCCATAAAATAAAATAATGCATAACATAGGTTTACTCACGATTGCCTCTTTAGCATCCCTCGTCGAAAGCGCTTTCGTCGGTGATGAAAGGGAAAGTTGGGGACATTACACAAAAATAATATTTTCTTTATAAACCTAAGTATCTTACAT